TGTAAGATAAAGCTGGGTAGAGGAACATCATTATCAGTAAAAAGTGGGTGAATTTTTAATGTTTTCTGTTTATATCTTAGGAGAAGATTGAGGGGATTATGTAGTTTTGCAGTGACATGTGGGATAAAGGGCAAAGTGAAAGGAGTTTTGATTTTTATATTTTGTTAGCTTCCTGGTAAGTGCCCATTAGCTCTTTATTTTAACATGCATTAAATCTAACTAATGGATATCAAACCAACTTAGAAAAATGGCAATTATAAAGCAATTGTAACAAAGACTTCAGGAGCACAACTGTGCCAAAATATTGTTTGTGTGCCTTAAACTCCTGAAAGCTCCATCTTTATGGAGAAATGAAGTTGCATAGATGGGAGAGCAGAGATTGCAGATGACGTGAGGGGAATTAGCAGCCCTCAGCATGCTTTGGGATTGTCTGAGCTACAAAGAACTGGGCTGATTCTCAGATTCCAGAGTGATTTGAGGGCGACATTTGTTTATGACTGTGCTTATCTGCTTACACATGCTCAGGGCAGCTATCTCTCTTGTTTTGATTTTCTTTTTCCTTAGCATGTACAGATGGAATGAGATATGGTGAATCTAGCAAAATCTCTTTGCAGTCTTTTACAAGGAGATGCAATTCATTTGAAAATTGACAAACAAAACTGAATGTACAGGTATAAATTATCTCCCTTTTCTTCCATTCCCCCAGGTTCTGTAAGGCAGTTTTTTCCTATCCTGTAGAAACTTTAATTAATCCAATGGGGATATTTTCCATAAGGGTTGCTTTCAAGCATTTCTCTCATGTGTCTTATCCATGGTTAGAAACAAAACCATCTCATTTGACAAAATCACATCTGGGATGTTACAATCTCTTGGAAATCAAAGGGAATGCATTGGGAAGTTACAGATTCTGGAGGTCTCGCCTTTATTGATAGATCTCCTTCTTCATGCCATCCATTAATTTTAACTCAGGTGATATATGAACTCTGCACATTTGTTAATGAAGGCTAATGCACAGTAATCTTGTCATCACTAGCTGTGCATGGTAATTCAATCTGGTGCTCAGAAGAGCTGTTCAACATGCAGCAAATTTGATTTAATATTGACATGATGTACTAGGTTTGGTATTTTATTTAACGTACCATGTGCCTTATTTGATGATAAATAGTTTTCTTTCAACAGGTTACGTACCTGAGTTAGGCCAGGTGTGTAGTTTAATGCAGTTATATCAGATATATTCTGTTGTATCTGCACTGGGTATTCATCCTGTGATACACTGCACAGACTGGGGCAAATTTCTGAACTTGGGCACTTTATGCATTCATTTAATGTTGTCAGCATGCTTTAGAGCAAGCCCTGCAGAGCAGAAAAATAAAGGTGATGCTTTTCTCAGGCACTGAAAGCAGAAAGTCCCTCTTGCCCTGTTTACACTTGTTTAACCTACTCTTGGAGCTTCATCACCACCAGCAGGATCTGATGCAAATTGACAGAGTACAGACTGGGGGTCTTGAGTGTGACTTGGAGGAGTTTTCCCAGTGTTTCTGGTCTGTAGTAATTGCTCCTAGCCTCTGTTTGGGTAGGATATAGGGCTGTAAATATGGTGTGGTTAATACTTTGATTTCCACAAAAGACACACATGCTGTGGGCTAGATTAGGGCAGTCAGTACTTTGTCACTTCAAACCAAACAATACCAGCTTTAATCCTCGAGTGTGTTAGAGCTGTGCTCTCTGCCACTGCATATTTATCTAATTTGTGTAGTATTAGGGGTGGATACAGGGATATATTGCCTTTATTTTAATATAAAGTACATGAAGATGTATCTCCGTGTAAAGGACATAGAAGCATGACATTATTTACTTCATTGCAGGTAAATCATCACCAACCATCCGAGTACAGAGCAAGAGTTTATACAGCACCCAGAGGATGTCAGACACTTTATCTGTGTATATCCACATCGCTCTGTGGAATACTCTTGTGCACAGATCTATGTTTGTGTCACTCACTGCAGCACGCAGGTATCTGGAGGATAAATCCTGCTTAAAGACAGGCTAAATGCAAAGCAAACCAAGTGGAACATGGCAGTGGTGTAGTTTACCCCAGCTGATCCCTCAGGAGCCATCCCTAGGGATGGTGCCCTCAGCATGGAGAGCAGGAGATGCTGTCGGTTAGCACTGCCAGGTGGGAAAAGTGTGTGCACAGGGAAGGGAGAGGAGATATCAGCCACTGTCCAGACTGTGGAGAAGCAATTTGCAGCCAGTTTACAGCAGACTGTGGTCAGACAGCCAGCCCCAGGAAGGAAGTGGCTGCTCCAGCTCCACCATGTGCTGCAGCCACACAGGGCCCTTTGCAGAGGGCGTTTTATTAAGTTACAAGATAGTAATTAATGCCAAGTTCCTTTCTTTATTTTCTCTGTGGTTGGGTTTCATAATGGAAATTAAAGATAGGAGATAGGGAGCAGATTGCCTCTTGAAATACAGCTCCCTGGTGCTCAGTTCATGACTTTAGAGACATTTGTCCAGCCCCATCTCCCTTTATGGAGATGCAGGTCAAATGCTGCTGAAATAGTCCTTTTTCTCTAGAGCAGATGTGCTCAGTCCAGTGCTGCACCACAGGAAAGAAGCAAAAGGGTCAGAGAAAGAGTGAAGGAGACTTTCTGTGCTCTGCATCCACAGTACAGCTGCTGTCCCCCCACCCCCTCCCACCAGAGCTGCAGCCTGTCAGGTTCCCCTGCCAAGTTGGGAACCCACCATTTAATGCATGTGTTTGGTAATTTTGGAATCTACAACACAGTCTGAGACATCCCACATGAGGAGGGACCACAGTTGTGGGGTGCTCTTGTCTGAACCTGTAAGTCCAAATGACTTTCAGAGCAGCTTTTTGAGCTAGAAGTGCATCATGAAATACCACCTGTTTTTTGGAATACATCCTAAGACTGCAGGTGTCTTAAAATAGATTATGTTTTCCTCTTCTGCTTCTGTTTTCATTAGCCCCAGGTTTTGACATTCTGTTCAGAGATATTTTCAGTATTGAATGCATTAAGATAACATAAATTCCAAATCAAACATCTCATTCAGCATATTTCCTATTTAAATTTCTCCTGTACATTTTCCCTGTAGTTATCTAAGAGTTGGTTTCATTATTTGTATCAACTGTCTCGTGATAACTGGTTTTGCAAAAGAGCAAAAAACGAATGCTTGTAGAGAAAATTTGTTGCTTGCACAGCCTTGTTTCAATTCAGTGTTCCTTCCGTCTTCTTAAGTTTATTGATCGGGAGAATGTTAAAGTTGTTGAATAGTTTGTTTTCATTTCACAAATGTGAATCAGGATTATTGCAGAAAAACAGGAATGTATTCATCATTAAGATTTGCTTTACACATTCATTTATTTTTTAATCTATAATTCCTATTGAACTAAGAAAACAGGAATATATGTATCACCACTGAGAACAAAAAGAGCCTGATTGAGGCAGATGGAAGATCAGCAAAGCACTTCACACAAGTGCAAAAATAGGAACTTCTTCTAAACTTCTGCTAATACTGAGAAGCACTGGTTTCCCAGAGTTGGGAAAGGTACTGGGGGGATTCCTACGTGCTGAGTGGCTTAAAGACACTTGGCTAAGGTACCAAATGCTGCATCTATTTAGAGCATGTGGTGTTTTTCAAGTCTTTTGTAAACAGATACAAGCTCTGCAGCTCTCTGGTCTTCCTGATCTGGGAGTGTGGTAGCTCCCAGTGTGACCAGGGCAGAGGAGACACGGCACGATGCTGATGCAGCCACACGTCCTCAAGTTTGCCCATGGCTCACATCTGACCCAGAGAGCAGAACAAACTCAGCTCTTTTTGTAAAGCCACATAAAGGCTCCATCTCAGGTCAGCTCAGGTTCTTGCTGGGATCACTTTGCATCTCTCCAGCATGGCAGGTTCATAAATTGGTCTGTGTGCTCAGACTTCCCAAATGTGCAGTGTTCAAGCGGCACCTTCCCTCTTTTCATGGATGCTGTTGGGTTTGGTGATCACAAACGAGGTTTTGTCTGGTTTTGCTGTCTCTCTTTGCCTCCCACTCCTCTTCTCAGGTCTCATATCATTATATTCATCCACTGTTGCAGATTGCCTTGTGTCAGCAGTGTGTGCCTGCCCTTCTACTCATTCCCTCCCACCAATATAACAAATGTAAAGCTGGGCCCTATGAGCTCTGGGGGGGTCACAGGACCATACAGCTGCAGGAGTCCATCCAATCAAGTAACATCTTTTACGCTCATAATGATAATTTCCCACTATAGCAAAACACCCTGCTGCCAAACTCCATTGCTAATGAGCCTGTCAGTGCATCAGTGCACTCCCGACAGTATGGAGAATGTAGGGATTGTTTTTTGCAAGGCAAATGAAGACACTGATGATTAGCAAGAAACAAACCAACAATTCAATACATCACTGGCCACACATACCAAATCATTGATTTTCTGTCCTGCTGGGCAGCAGCTGTTGTATTTGCTCTGCAGAAATGGACATTTTAATCCTGGAGGGACAAGAAAGGTGGATGTTTCTCCAAGAACTGGAAGCAGCAGGCAGCTGCTTCCTGCACTAGGCATGGGCATGTTGATGGTGTCCTTCTGAAGCTGCTGAGAAGTCTGATGGGCTTTCCACTATTAAATTCTGCTTCTGAATGCATGTGAATGCAGTGATTGGATGAAAAAAAGAATCTGTGAAATTGCAGGACAAAAAATGCTGCCCTAAGACTTACAATCACTGAAAGAATTAGAAGTTAATCATAGATAGCCTCACATGATTTCTCTCTGTCTACCAGTTACGTGTAATCAGCCTCCTTCCAGATCATCTGTCTCAGCAGCGTTGCTATTTCCATAACCCTCGCCTTGCCTGGCTGGATTGAAGTGAGATGTCTATTCCACAGCATTTCTCAACAAAATGCGTGACCCCAGGTCGGTGGGACCCCAGCGTGCCCTGCAGTGAGGTGGCACTGATAATTCCTCTTGCCTTGTTCCCAGGGACCTACGTGATGACGGTGACGGCGAACGACGCGGACGACGGCACCACGGCCAACGGGATGGTGAGGTACAGGATCGTCACCCAGACCCCGCAGAGCCCCTCTCAGAACATGTTCACCATTAACAGCGAGACAGGGGACATTGTCACCGTGGCTGCTGGCCTCGACAGGGAGGTGAGTTGGCTGCTGATGTGGAAAGCCCAAAGCCTGTGTTTAATCCCAAGCCTCTAAAAGCTGCAGTTGAGGTGTGGAGATCACAGTCTTTGCTTCTGCAGCAACTGTGGGGCATCGTGGCTTTGATGTGATATTTTTGTCTTAATCCATATCAGTCAATGAAACCCTGGGAGAATCTTCAAACTCCAGGAGCTGATATTTTCCTTTCCTAAGTTTGTAAAACTCAAAAGATGTAGAAAATACTCCAGGAGGCATAGGGGGATGAATAAATGGTCATTTATCCCCCCTTCTGCTGGGGGGAAATAAAGTGCCAGACATCTGTAGCCCTTTCCAGACCTGTCTTTCTTAGTTCTTTGCTCCCTGGAAAAGGAGCACAGCCTGCACTCAGCACACTTCAGGTCCTTGTGTCATTTCCAAACTAGTAAAAAGTCTTCCAGTGATTTTGGGTTTGTGTGATGTTCTGCCTTTAGTGCCTCTTCTTTCTGGCATTTTACAATGTGCAGCTTTTCCAAATGCAGCAGAAATTTCACTTTTACTGACAAAAAAATACTCTGCCAGTGTAAACTATATATGATTCTCAGAGCTCTGCCTCCTCTGGTTGTGGGTGTAGCTCAAGGACAAAGCATTTATACCTCACACATGAAACAAAAATCAGTGCAGTGTCAGTGGTGGGATGCAGTGAGTGGGGAAGAAGGGGATGGGGTCAATGGTTGTAAAGAGAGAGAACCCCAGAACTTCAGTTCTGTTTTTATTCCCCATTGGACTGTGCAGGTGATGGAGTTCAGCTCAGTGCAGCTAGGGGAGCTCTGTGGACTAAGTGATGGGAACAATGGCCCCAGAGAGAATGGAAGAAAGGACATGCTTAGTCTGAGTCTCAGGTGTTTATTTTCAGGCAGTCCCCAGAGCCAGCACATCCAGTGGGACAGTCCAGTTTGGGAGAGCCCAGTGTGCTGCATTTCTGGGAGGAGAAGGCACCATAAACTGGTTTTGTTCCTCTTTCTCTCCTTTCCTCCCCTGTGGCAATGGCAGGGCAAGCAGGAGTCCCCACATGTGGGCCTGGGACCTAAACTCTGAGAGGTGAAGCCTCCAGCACCTTGGAGATTTTTCCGGTGCCCCTCAGGCCAGCAGCGCACGTTTGGCCCCACTGCTGATGCTGTGCCAGGCTCCAGTCAGGAGACATTCCCTGCCAGGGATTGTGCCCGTTTCATTCCCTTGTCTGGGGCTGCTTCTCTGCTCCAGGGCAGCTCGGGGTGGATCCCAAAGGCAGCTGCTGAGAGCAGATAAAAGCCCCAGGGGCAGCTGAGCAACACGTGTGGAGCCCTGGGGCATCCCAGGACACTGGGGATGGGATGGGGTGGGATGGGATGGGATGGGATGGGCATGCTGGCTGGGAGCAGCACAGGGCTCGCCCCCAGCACTGTTTCAGGGTGAGCTGGCCCGGGGGGGCACGCTGTGTGAGACAGCTTTCCAAGGAGAAGGTCAGCAGAGCAGAGAGCTTTCCAGGTGTGAAGACAGGAAGCAGAGCTGGGGGAGCAGGAGGAGCTCCAGCATCTGCTCCTTCCCACCTGATGTGGCAGACTCTGCAAGCACAACCTAGGGTGGATTTGACCTTTCCCTGCTCCTTTTATTCCAAGAGCTGGGAAGTTGGCTGAATCTTAAGCAGGTAGATGATCCCAGGCTGTGCTGGAGCCTGCGGCAGCCTTGCAGTGGAAGAGGAGAAACAAGTGCTGGAGAGATTGCTGGCAGCCCCCAGGGGGATGGTAGCAGAGTACTCAGAGAAGAAATTGGAATTCTGGCAGGAAAATGCTGATTTTATGGAAATGAAAGAACTGTTATTGCCCCCCTGACATCAGTGGGGGCCAGCATTTTAATGCTGGGCTTTATGGGCAGAGAAAGGTCGTCGGTTTATATTAATTCCAGAAACACAGATTGGGATAACTTGGTGGGAGAGAGGTTTTAATCTCAGCAAATCAGCTCAGAAAAGAGGCAGGTGATAATTAGGGGAAAAGGATAAGGCAGAATCTTTTTTTATTGCTTCTCTCATTGCATCTGAAGTATTTTAAAAAGTTACAGGGGAACCATGTGCTTCATGTAAGTTCCCTTGTGCACAGGGTCAGGAACTCACAGCTGGCACATTGTATGTGGAAGTCTGGTGTTGAGTGTCCCAGGCTGAGTACAAGAGTGGGCAAGGGACACTTGGATCAAGGCAGAACAACCAGCTCTGGGCATAATCCTGGGGCTGCCCTGAAGCTACGGGGCATGCTTATTCCCAGCTCTCTCTCCTGCTTTCAGGATTACATCTGGAATTGGCAAAACTTTCTGGTTTATTAACATAAAGTTATATTGCATCTAAATTGAACATTGTGTTTAAACACCCCCATTACTGTACCATGGACTGGTTTTTTTGTTTTTGTTTGTTTTTCCTAGAAACTTGAGGAAGCTATTAGAGGAGTGAATTTGGGGTTGCTGCTGACATTTCCTTGTCATTAGGAAAAGGAGACGAAGAGCAATATTTGGAATGCAGATTTGTATAAATTAAAATGTTAACAAATCTGACCTATTCAGCTGAAACTCCTATAACCAAGATAAATTCCCAGGATACCAGTTATTTCTCCAAATGCTTATTGACACATTTATCAGTGGCTGAGACATGATTAAGTTAAGCTGTGGTGATACAGAATGAGGTTTTCAGTCTGCATTGGTATCCTTCTCCCTTGCTTCTGCAATGCAAAGCAGGAGTAAAAATAACTTCCAGAGCTGTTCCATATCTGAGAGACAGGTCCATGTTCCAGATCCAGCATTTGTCTTTCAAAAGGGAGAAAAGTCACTTCAGAACTGGTGTTCCTAGCTCAGCATTTCTGTTGCATGCTCATTAAATGAGATTTCCTGATGTTCTCAGCATCTCCACATTGGTTCTTTGCTGGTTTCCTAAATTACCTTCAATCCATGAAAGAATGAACTGGATGAAGTTTTAGCTTATTTTGTGTCAGGACAAGTGTTTTGTTTAACCTGTGGGAAACCTATTTTAAGACCAAGTCATGTATTTTTGCTGCTGTTTCTAAACCCTCATTTCCACAAACCGTGGAGGAAATTAAAAAATTCAGCCTCTCAAATTGTGCTGGTCTCTCCTAAATGTGTCTGACACTGAAGATAGCACAATCAAAAGCCAAAGTATTAAAATATTGATGGCTTTAAAGTTATCTTACCTGGTTCCTATTAATCTGGATGTAAATATGGTGACAATGCTCTGTGTCCACTCTCTCATTATGACTGCACTTAATTGAATGGATCCCCAAGGAAGATAAAGTTAATTGGACTGCACTTCATAAAAATTATTAAAGGAAGACAGTTTAGCAACAGCCTGATGTAAGCCTGGATGCCTGAGGGTGAGAAATGCCAGGGGTGGAACAAAGGAACACCCATCCCTTGAACTAAGAGGGGAAATTATAGGGATTTAGGGTCATGAGAGGTTCAGAAGTACATGCAGACAGGCAGGTTTTGATGAGAAGGTTAAAAGCAGATACTTGCTGCAGGAAGATATCGGAGTAGCAAAGGAAATCTGCAGCTGATTTAATGAAATCAAGAGGGAAAAATCATGTGATGGTGGGAGCACAGAATGTGTGAATTATAGGGAAGGCTGTGAATGCATGGGATGAGCAGGTTTTGACAAAGTTCAGGGGTAGGAAGGGACCATGGCAGCTGATTTAATTTATGGCAGGCTGCTGCAGGAGTGGGTGGTACTACACGAGATGCTGCCAGACTGAGGGCTTCATTTAGCAGCACGTCTGAATTCCACATTTCATTAATCTGGGTTTTTTTTCCCACTGTGAAGAAAATTGCAGGAGGTAAGGTGAGTATCAGACACAAGCAAAACATTCATATTTTTGTTTTCCATCCTGAAAAGTAACATTTCTTTGTATAATCTTGCAAAAGTGACCAGCTCTGGTCTGTGTGTTATTTTAGTTCTTTCACTCAGCCCAGTGTCCCAGGTGGGATCAAGCCCAGACTGTCAGGCTGATGGTTTTCCTGGTGCAGTAACTCAACCCCCTGACCAATTTTGATTTCTCTGGTGGCAGAATATCTGTCTCAGTAGCACAGTAAACCTGCACTGGGGCTATAGTATAGGCAGTATCATCCTCTGAAGAGCTTCCCCTAAATATTTTATGAACACGGACTTTGAGCAAGCAGGAGGGGAAAAAAAAAAAAAAAAAGGAATGAGAGAAAAGGAGGTGATTGATCCCAGGCTCTGCTGGCAGGCCAATAAATGTTGAGACATCTCAAATGTCATCCAGGTTTATTTGAGATAATAAGTGTTTCAGCACTGTGGTGCTTGTAGTATAATGTTGCTAACTTTTTGAGATGTCCCTTAGAAAGGAGTCCCTTCCCAGCACATTCATCTGGTGCTGGGGAAATGAAGGCAGTCAGGAGCACTGAGTTGCTTCTTCCAAATTTCTGTATGTTTGTATTTCTTTTAAAAGTGATTGGATCTCTGCTGCTGCAAATGCTTTTAAAAATACATGAAATCCGATTCTATGATTACTGCACTTGGCTTTCTGAAAACGTGATGTTGCTGGTCCTTCTCAAGTGAGTGAAAGATAAAAGGGAGAGCCTGCCAACAACTGAGTTAGAGCTTTATTTTATTTATGAATGAAATGGCAGAATTTTTGTGGGGAAGAGGAGAAGTTCTTCTTATTAGCAGAGACAGTTGATTTCTTTTCCAAAACTCTGGGTTCGGTGCAGCTAGACGTTTCTGATAGTGCAAAATTTGAAATGTTATGTTAAAGGAAAAAAACAACAACAACTGTACACTACTCAAAACACGGAGCAGGGATGTTTTTTTACTATCTGCAGTAACTATTTTGGGTACATTTATCTCCAGGTCATTGCAATAGCTTTTCAAAACCTTGTTCATTCAGATGCTGGCTGAGAGTAAACAAGGCAGTGCCCTGGTACAGGAATGAGTTTAGCCATTGAGATTCCTGTGAAACATTCCCATAGGT